TAATAATTGGAATGGATTTACTTCTTATAGAAGAGATATAAATTTTTTTGCTATTAACTTAATTACAATCATGTAATATGTCACAAAATTATGAGAGCGAACATATAATTATTTTTTGTATTTTCATTGTTATTTAATAAATACCATTCATTTAAAATATCTACGTTAATCAGCATTAATTATAGTTAATTTTTTCATATTATATATTTTTACTTTTTTTATTTTTGATGTATTATATACTAACAATTTAGAATTAATATAGATATATTAAACTCAAATTTTTTTTTGTATTAAATATTATTGCGTAAAGAATAAGTTTACTATCATGTATTGTAATGAATTGTTAATTTAATTTGACAAAATAACTGATGAAATAATATTTTTGCTCTATGATACGGATTGAAATTAAAACTGCTTATTTTTAAGTATAAAATAATATTAAAACATAACTAATTTATACGATTTGATATTTCTATATTTAACTAGTCACATTGAAATCAAATCTTACTCTATCATAAGTATCCTTTCCATTTTGGATTCCTTCTTTTCCCAATTCTTTTACGTTTTCAACTGTATTTGAAAATTGATTTTGCACAGTATCCACTAGAGAACCTAGCGGTTTAAGAAGTCCTGCCTCTGCTGTTTGAAAAATCTAGAATTATATGAATAAATTCATAAAATCAATACGTAAAATATTTAATAATAAATGCATAATTATTTTAAATATTCGAAAAACAGAAGAATATTTTCACTTGCACACACACAACGTTACTTTATATGTAAATATTATAAATTATAAAATATTAAATAAAATTTTTTAAGTTTTTGTAATTCTTGTTAAATATTAAATTTTTACAATCTAAATAACACACTGTTTTAGATTTAAGAATTAAAAAACTTACGCAAACAGCTGCAATGATGCAATTTATAATTGTAATTTTTGTCATTGTTATCCTAACTTTTGCGTATTACTTCTTAAGACTTCTGAAATAACACTCCTTTTTTTTCACCTAAAACTCGCGTTTATATAAGATATTCACTTCCAACTTGTAGAAGATATCGTTGCGATATGCAAATTAACTTGTCAAACTGCGAGTACTTACATCAATATGCAATTACTCTAATTAGCCAAAGTAAAAAATAGTAATACTGATATGAACGAAATGTATTATTTAAAAGAAAGTTTTATAATTTATTTTTATGATATATTACTACAAATCCATGTTCCGTCTAATTTTATTTTTTTTATAATTAGATATTTCTCATATATGAATATGTAACTAGAACTATTAAAATGGTTTTTTTTCCTGTATAATAAATGGGATATATAATGGGATGTATGGGATATATAATGGGATATATAAATTTTAAGAAAAAACTTTAAAATATAATTTCTCATAAAAAATGATATTATAAATTATATATCAAATCTCTTATATATATAAAAACACCTTATGCTTAATGGTATTTTATAAAATAAGTATTATTTGCAACACAATTATTATTTACAACACAATTATTGTAAATTCTATAATTACTAACAATAAGTTGTTATCAGATAGCACCGACCAGAATAGGATCATAAAAAACTTTTTACAAATGATAATAAGATATCTTTTTATATTATCGTCTCATTTCCCGATTTGGACATATATGTTGTCTGGACTCTGAATTAAAGTATAATTATTTTGCTAATGTTATGAAGATTAATTGGAAACTTACATGTTAAAAAAAATTGTTCACCTTAAATTAAAACATTGATAAAAGAATTTTAAATATTTCACAAGATTGATTAATTTTAAGTATTGCTTAAAAATTGGATACAAACTGAAACTTTTTTGAGAAATTATTTTCTAATATCAGAATCCTTAATTTCTTTTCTTAGTAACATATTTCTACAAATTTAAACAATTAATTTTTTATTAACTTAGCATTAAAATTTTTAAATTTATGTAATAAATTATAATGAGAGAAATTGTAATATAATATGAATATCATAACTTCTTTGCATTATTATTTGAAATTGTATTATATTTTATGATTTGCAAGAATTTGTGACTCTTTAGTGCGTGATGCGATCAATATATATTCTTGATAATGCTACAAAATTCTTTCCTGGAATATATGTGTGTATATATATATATATATATATATATATATATATATATATATATATATATATATATATATATATATATATATATATATATCTATTCCTTTAATCTTATTCTTTCACTCTTTGTTTCATCATTTTATTTTCCTCTTGTATTCTATTGCTTTTTAATACTTGTTATTTAAATTAATTATATATTTTTATTTATTAATCACATCTTCAGTCATTAAGTTTGTTTTTAATATCATAAGATATGTTTTACCATAAGATGTTTTTTGTATGATATTCCAAAATTTTAAATAAATAATTCAAGGATTTTATAAATATGTATTAAATAAACTTTATTTCTATTGACAATTGAATATGGGAGAATGACAAGCAATTGTAGAACGATTGCATATTGTAACATATGCGCGCGCATAAGACATACACATATCCTTGAATTATTGCTAATGTAGCATTGATATTCACGATTGCTACTGTAGATGTATTACTGTAGATGTATGCAGTTGCTTATTTTAATATAAAAAGCCTCCTTTGTAAAATAAATTATTATAATTTTTTATGAATAATTGAATTTGACACTCTTAAAGTGTGTGAATATACTGTAATTAAATTAGCTTAATGTAAATATAAATTTTATGATCATTTTTTGTGTTTATATATTTAATGAAATCTACTCATTTAAGACTACTCTACTCTTCAAGACATTGTTTGATCAAAGGAGACTTGATGTTTGAATTATAGTAAATTTGATTGAATTTCGCATTTGTCCAATTTTTGCAAATATTTAATAAATTGAAAAGATTTTGAAGTCGAAGCTTTTTTACGATATAATTCATTGTTGAAGGTTTACAATAAATCATAGATATCTAATAAAAATCTAGAATTTTTCTAACTACTTAACAAGTAAATTCATTAATAATATAATATATATTAATAATATATTCATTAATATATATATATAATATTAATTTTATTTAATAAATTGAGATGACTTTTTTCTTAAAGAAAATGAATAGATTTTGATATGTTTAATTATTTGGCTAATAGAATTGCATAGGAATCTCTCTCTTTCTCTCTCTCTCTCTCCCTCTCCCTCTCTCTCTCTCTCTCTCTCTTTCTAAAACAAAACATATTAAGATTAGCATACTACCGATGAAAATGCGAGCACGTTGATTACCGTTAGAACCTCTGAGACATATGTGTAGGATACACATATGCACGCATACGCATGTATCTGCGCTCGTACGTACAAATTCACCCCTATAAAATATTCCCATCGGAGTGGCGCACGGGGTGTCGTGGGAACGGTCTCGCTCGATATAAAATGCCACGCACATTTTTATGGGACGTGTATACGTTCAAGTAGCTCGGGGATTCCTTTGTAACGAATCGACGACGAGTCTTCTCGCCTGGGAGTCGCGCATCGAGTCAATCCAATGAGAATATATTTTTCTTCCCTCCTCCAAAAAAGAGTATCATGACAGATACAATTCCAGTTTACGGAGCGTGTACGCGCGCGTCAGCCAGATAATTATCAAATTCCAGTATAATACATAATAATTCAAAACTGTTTGATTTTTTCTATTTTACAAAGTGATAAATTGTTATTGTTATAGTACATTAAGTAATGAAATCAAAAACCTTATTTATTATATAAAGCATTGTCATTTAACGATAATTTAAATTACTGTGTACACATTTAGACATCACAAAAGCATTCTCTAATTAAATTCTTTTTCCGGCAATTAGTCGAATAAAATAACTACAAATCTAACATTTATGTATTACGCGTGCATTACATATTATATTAGCATTTCGTATTTGAAATTTTTACTAATGTATTATGTATTAATTTATAGATAATTTATTTTAATTAGTTCTAATTTTAACTTTATTTATTTAATTTTCTTATTCAAATAATAAATTATTGTTTATTATCATAATAAATTTAATTTTTTTTAATGTTTACCGATAACATTAACAAATTACTATATAATTTATATAATTTATATAACTTATATAATTTATTGTATAACTTATGACTTATATTTATATGCATATACGTATAAATTCACATATAAAAAAATTGCTTTTTTTATTAGCTGCAAACATTTTTTTAAAGAAGTTCTAAATATATTAGATTTGAGGCGTCAAGTATCGTTTGCGGTGTGATTATCTCGCGATTATCTGTAGATCCGGATTCAATCCCACCTGTGCTCATATATGCGATTTTTCGCGTTTAACTCTCTTAGGAAAAAATGTTTTAATATAATAATTAATCAGTATATCGAAACACTTTTCTTAAGGAAAGAAATCGAAAATGGCTCCAGCTGATGATTAAGAGATCTTTAATCATTAGTACCGTTTAGATCCGATATTAACTGTAAATTCTGCATATAATTAGTGGATATATATATATATATATATAT